TTTTGTTTTGTTATTGTTATATTTATTAGTATTATTATTGTTGTTATTGTTATTAGTGTTATTATTATTATTGTTATATTTATTTTATTTATTTGTTCATTTTTAGTTTTCTTTTTTTTAGGTATCTGTATTTAGTTATTTATCTATCTATCTGTCTATTTATTTATCTATCGATCTATTTGTTTATTTCTAAGGAAAGGGGTCTCGAGTGAGCTTGTGTATTTTTTTGTCAAGTTAGTTTGTTATATTTTTATTCAATTCCCCCTCCCGTTCCTCTCGCTTTTGATCTGTCCAATCTATTTCCTATTGCGCCGGATTCTCTCTCTCTCTCTCTCTCTCTCTCTCTCTCTCTCTCTCTCTCTCTCTCTCTCTCTCTCTCCCCCCCCTTTCCCTCTCTCCCCCCTTTCCCTCTCTCCCTCTCCTTCCTCCTCTCTTCTCTGTTTCCCATCCCTCCCTTCCCTACACCCTCTCCCCTATTTTCCTTTCCCCTTCCTCCCCTTATCTCCCCTCACTTCCTCCCCTTACCTCCCCCACCCCCTGCTTTTCCCCTCCCTCCCCCCTGCCTCGTCACCTATTCCTCTTGCTTGCTTGCTCGTGTCATTGACCTCGGCGTCTGGGGGAAAATTCTTTCCCTGACGTCGCTCTTTTTAGGGGAAATTTTTAGGGGAAATAACAGGATGAAAGGAGTTCTAGGGAATTTTTTTTTTTTTTTAAGAATGCTGTTAAAAAAAAAAAAAAAAAAACGGTTTCTGATGCGTATTTTTAAGCTTCAAGTTTGTTAAGGATAGGGTATAAATTGGGTTTTAGGAGATTTGTTTGTAATTGGTTCGGGATTTTAAGATAGGAAAAGATAGGGAGGTACTGTTATATTTTCTTCCTAGTTTCTAGTTTTAGGAAAATAACAGAATAATAACAATCACAGTAAAATATAACGACCATAGCAATAACAAAAACACCATACACTGAAAAAAAAATGGTAAGAAACACCATCCCCCCCAAAAATGCTTACCTCAATCTACCTCCCAAATAAAAAAAATAAAAAAAATAGATCTACGGTAATATAAAGCCTCACTAGCCATGAAAAAATAGATCTACGGTAATCTGTAGCCTCACTAACCATGACCTCCTTTGCCTGAGCGCCAAAGGGCATCGATTAGCGTGGGGTAAAGGGAAGGCGTGGGCGGAGTGGGTGGCTCTCCGCCCTCTCTCGCCAAGGCACTTCTTCGCGATGGTTCCTTGGGCGGGGTGGGGGTGGGTGGGGTGGAGCTGCTTGAGGGAAGAAGAGAAGGAGAAAGAGAAAGAGAAAGAAAGAGAGAAGGCGAAAGAGAAAGAGAAAGAAAGAGAAAGAAAGAGAAAGACAAAGAGCGAGGAAAAAAAAAAAAAAAAAAAAAAAAAAAAAAAAAAAAAAAAAAAAAAAAAAAAAAAAAAATGGTAAGAAACACCATCCCCCCCAAAAATGCTTACCTCAATCTACCTCCCAAATAAAAAAAATAAAAAAAATAGATCTACGGTAATATAAAGCCTCACTAACCATGACCTCCTTTGCCTGAGCGCCACAGGGCATCGATCTCCGTGGGGTAAAGGGAAGGCGTGGGCGGAGTGGGTGGCTCTCCGCCCTCTCTCGCCAAGGCACTTCTTCGCGATGGTTCCTTGGGCGGGGTGGGGGGGTGGGGGTGGGGTGGAGCTGCTTGAGGGGTTGTGGGAGGGAGGGAGACAGAAGAAGGAAAGAGAGAAGGAGAAAGAGAAAGAGAAAGAAAGAGAAAGACAAAGAGCGAGGAAACACTTCTTCGCGATGGTTCCTTGGGCGGGGTGGGGGGGTGGGGGTGGGGTGGAGCTGCTTGAGGGGTTGTGGGAGGGAGGGAGACAGAAGAAGGAAAGAGAGAAGGAGAAAGAGAAAGAGAAAGAAAGAGAAAGACAAAGAGCGAGGAAAAAAAAAGAGAGGGAGAAAGAAAAAGAGGATGAGAAAGAGACAAATGACACACACAAATAATTATAACAAGAACACCACAATTACTTAAATAACCGAATCACGCATTCCGTTGTGTTGGTTGGTTATTATAAAATCGATTCCACGATCTCGTGTGTTTTTCCTAACGAAATGGAGGGTTGACGTTAATGAATTCGTGAATGATATTATGGTGTGATTTTTACTGCATTATTCTCGACACGAAAGTTAATGTATTTTTGGGTCATTTTCTCTTCGTTTTCGTTGTCTCTTTTTGAAAGATTTAGGATGTGTTTTGTTTGTTGGTTGGTTGTTAGTAGTGTGTTGTCTTCCTATCTGTTTAATGGGTAACGGGCACTAACGGTAGAATTAGTGATACTTCGATAGGAAATGAAAGAAATGGTAATGATAAAAATATTTAAAGAATTATTTCAAATTTGATAACCATGTAACAGAGTCATGAAGATGTACCTTAAACCTAATGCCTCCAAACTCAAACGGAACCCAAAAACTCACCCAAACTCACCCCCTCCCCCCTCTCTCTCCCCCCCACAGTGCAGTCGTTGCGAAGCCATCGTCATCCCTCCCGACCAGAGACTGAGTTTTTTCAGTGACTACAGCCGGACCCACGCCTGCCCCTCCTGCGGCCACGTCGACCACCACTTCGTGAAGCCCCTGACGTCCTTCGTGAGGGACGACAGGCAGGCGTGGTAGTGGCTGGCGTCCTCGGCCTTCCCACCACACCCTCCCCTCCCCCGCCCAGCGCTTCAGGCCCGGTGGGTGAGAGACTCCCGCTTTCTGGGGAAGATCCGTGGTTCTCTTGCTTTTGATTTGTCTGGTTTTCTATTAACTGCTTGTTTTTTTTAATGCTATTTTAAGTACTATGGTAGGCTCTTCTGTCTTTTATATTTTCAGTGGTTTATTGGTGTGTTTTTTTCGCAAATGGTAACTTCTTAGATATTTACCTTTATCACAAAGTGTATCAATGCTTTATTTTTATCTTGGTTTTGTATTATCTTTCGCTTTACTAGCAAATGCTTCGAATATTACAGGATGTATTTAAATGATTCGAGAATTAATCAGTAGTGAATGCATTACCTTTCTTACTAATATCAATAATATTAACAATGCAAATTCCTCTTTCTGTAATTTTTATTGTGAAATATACTTTCTTCCTTATTCCTACTAGAGAATCTATTATTATTATAATTTTATTTCTCGTCTCCCAACAGGACCAGCCTTGGCCGGGGTTAATGCGCCCATTACACTCACGTAACACATACATCCCTTTGTTTGGCGTTGTCACCTTCAGAAAAGAGTGTGTATAGTGAACTTACTTTGTCTCTTGGAATTGAAAGCAAGGACAGGACCGAAAAAATAAGCAAAGTGAAAACGGACCGGGAAGGAAAAGGGAAGTGGAAGATAAATAGAGCATGCGAAGGAGAGAGAGAGAGAGAGAGAGAGAGAAAATTAGCGGAAAAAAAATTAAGAGGAATGTTATATTTTTTAAAAAAAGTAATTAATTGAAATAACGAGAAAGGAAACCGTTAAGACATGGGCTGACTGGAAAGGGTGTGAGTGTAGTCAGTCATTTTTCTCCCCTCCCCCCCCACCCAGCCAAAACCAATCCACACACACACGTACATTGGTTCTTTGCTGTGTTGAGGAAAGGAAACCGTGTGTGTGTATTTTTTCAAGAGAAGGAAGAGGACAGATTTGATTGTGTTTGTCGGCATTTGAAGATCTATGCAGAGAAGAGAACAGCAAAGAAGAATAAGAACAAGAACAAGAAGCTGGGTTGGATAGTTTTTTTGTTTTTTTTTCCTCTTAAAACATTCCAGATGATGGATGTGTGAAGACCCTTTCTGTCTGTTACACGAGAGGAAGCAGAGGATGGCATTCATGTGGTCGGTGAGGAAGAAGGAAGATGGAGGGCGGAAGGAGGCGAAGGAGGAGAAGGAGAAGGAGAAGAAAGAAGAGGAAGAGAGAGAGAGAAGTCTCGAGGGAAAATTTTTTTTTTTAAAAAGTGTGTCTGGGAAGTGTGAAGTCTCTCTCTCAGGAGGCTTTCATTACGCTGAAAAAAAATCCAAAGGACCGTGTTATTAAAGTCTTTTTTTACGGAAAATAAAAGACTTGAGAAAGACAATGAGGTGTTGGCGAACGCAGCGGCACTTCTTCAGGTGTTGCTTGTATGGACGACTTGATACTGCCGAAGAAGGGAGAAGGAGAGAGATAGAGAGAAAAGAAAAAAGAAAAGAAAAGGTGTAGATAAAAACATTTTATCTCCTGACGTGTCTTGTGTTTGGAACTAATGATACTTTTGAAGTGTTGTTTGTTTTTATACAGAAAAAAGGAAGAAATCTTTAAAGAAAACTGAAAAAGTCTGCTGCACAACACCATGGTTCGATACCCTACCTGCCAAGGAGAGTGACCTGGGATCAAATTCTAGGCCTGTTTCTAGTGTGATTGGCTCGGAGCGAGATAGATGTAAAAAAATGTACTTATGTGGACAATTGGTGTGTTTTTATACGAGTACATATTTTTTTTTTCTTAAAGAAGCCCAGATTTTAAGGTGTCTGCCGGGGAAAAATTAAAAAGTAGACAGACTCAAACAAAAAAAAACTACAAAAAAATACAAAAAAAAAATTACAGGAACCCATATGGAACCGGGGATACTTTGTCTTTGTAATGTTTAATAAGTCCACCAGAAAGACGTGGACGGATGTAAATAATGATAGAGAATAGTCGTATGCTAATTGTGTGATCTCCTGTGCTGTATACAACTTTATTCCATAAGTACGATTTTAATGTTTCATCGTAGAGATAGTCCATAAAAAATCCTTGCTGATATAGCGCCCGAGACAAACAAACAAACAAAAAAGATGAACTTACAACCCCGTTTTTTGAAATTTGTAACGTGGAAAGAAGAAAAAAAGATAAGCAAAAACAGACAAACATATTTGGAAGATGATTTAAACAACAACAATGATGATGATAGTGTGGATGAAAAAAAAATAGAAGAAAAATGGAGGTGAGATGAAAGGACGATGGAGAATAAATAGAAGAAAGTGTGAAGAAAAATCGAAGGAATTAGTGTAAACATCGACGAATGGAGGAAGAGGAGGTCGTAGTGATGATGCGAGGAAGTGAAGGAGACCAAAGTGATGCGAGGAAGTGGAGGAGGAGGTGACGAACCGAGGAAGTGGAAGAGAAATCGGTAAGGAGAGGAAGAGGAGGTCGTGGCGATGAACGAGGACGTGGAGGAAAATGCGAAGAAAGAAAAGAAGAGAAGAAATGGGAAATAAAATAAAAAGAAGAGTTAAGCGTTCAGAAAAAAGAAAAATATATAGAATTGGCGATTAATTCCATCTTGTATCATTGACCAAAAAAACAACAACATAGAAAGGAGAACAACGATGAAAGGGGAGCTAGAAGAGCGGATGGTGAAGGAAGGGAGAAAGGAGTGAGAAGGAGAACCAAGAGAACGACAAGAAATGAGAAACACCGAAGAACGTGGAAGAGGAAGGGAAGAAAAGGAGAAAGGAGAAGAACGCGAACGAGAATAAGAAATAGCAAGAGATTGAAAAAAACAACGAGAAGAAAAAGGGGAGAATAGAGGAAACGGAAACCAACACCCCCTTCCTCCCCCCACCCCCCTCCCGCCCCTCCAGAAATGGGGGGGCGGGGCGGACCTCAGACCACGAAACCCGCTCGAAGCCAACGTCCAGACCGACAAAGGTGGAAAAGGGAGCAGAGAAAGTGGCGAAGAACGGATGAGAGAGAAAAGCGAAGATCAAGAACCGGAAGAGAAAGAGAGAAGAAAAGAAAAGGTGAAAGAGAAGATCGAAAAGGAGTCGTGGGAGTGAATCCATCCGGTAAGAAAGAAAAGAGAGAAGTGAGAGCGAGAAGGAAAAGAAAACAGAAGAAAGAAGAAATAAAACCAAGAAAGAACAGAAGAAGAAAGAAGACGGAAGAGAAGGACGAAGGAAGGAGGACCTGGTTTTCATCACGACCATCCCCCCTCCCTCATCCCCACCCCCCCTACTCTCAACCTCCCTCGAGAAACAACCTTTCCTCAATCAACCTCGTCGGGCGACAGTTGAAGGCAGAGAGAGTCTCCTCCTCCAAACGCGCGGGAAAGGAAGAGAGGAACCTAAATGCCTGTAAGTTAGTTCAATGTGCACTCTTTTCTTAATTTTTTTGTGTAAGAGAGAAAAAAAAAGAATTTTTAGCCCCCAGGTGGAAATTGAAACAATAGCAGCATTAAAAAAAAAGAAATAAGAGATTTTTTTCCCACCCACCCACCCTTCAAAAAAAAAAAATTATGGAATTATATATATACAATTATATTATTAATGATTACTGATGCTTCCACTTTTCACGGTGGGTTTATTGCTTATGATGTAGGGATGATCATGGTTTCAAGATGATGATGAGACATAGGAAAACAACTTTTTAAATCTCTCCGTATTGAATGTGTAAGGTACATTTTATATATGTAGCTTCAACTTGTACTGTGAGAGTGATTCTGATCTTTGCCGCTTTCCGTCTGCTGGCCAGTGTGACATAGTAAGAAAAATGTAACAAAAAAAAAAGCCAAAAGTGAAAAAAAGGATCCATTTTTTTTCAAAATTTAAACGCTGCGAAAGAAACTAAATGTTTATCAAATGATACTTTTTTTTTTTTTTTTTTTTTTTGTTCAACAAAACCCGCTGCAAAATCTGGCCTTGTTTCTTTTACAAAAATTTCAAGCATTTAAAAGGCAACTACTGAATTTTCGAATTAAACATAGGCAAGAGATCAAACACCCTTATTATTTTTACCAAAAGGATGAACTTTGATAGAAATACCAAACGTAAAAATGTCACCGCGAAAGGCCAAGTGTCAGAAACATTCACACTTTTTGCTTCCGTTGTGCGAGGAATCTGAGATTAGGCTTAGGAAGTCCAGGAAAAGCAAATTAAAGTCTTAAACATTTTTCCTAAAAAGAAGTCACAAGTCAAAAAAATAAGTCTTTCGGAGGAAAAGAAAATAAGTAACCATTTAAAAACGTCAGATCAGATTCTTTACAATATAATGTTGGGAGAAAGATTGCGGTAGCTTCGGCAGAGAAATGTGAAAGATGTCATTGTTGTCTTAACTTTTGACCTTTTCTTAATGGAAGATATAATTCTTTTTTTTTTCATTATATTTGAGAAAAATCCCGTCGTTGGAACAAGCAAGATTAAAGCTATCGAATTAAAGAAAAATTGAAAAAAAAGTGTTATTGAGAGGAAAAGTTGATGATTTTTTTTTGTAAGTCCGTCGATGTGAAAACCCGATTGTTAAGTCAAAAAATCAAATACATTTTATAGCAATTAACGTCAATCCAGAAGAGAACGGACTCCACGACGTCGGAACATATTTTTTTTACTTTTACTTTTTTAAAAACTTCAAAAAAAAAAAAAGTGTTATTGAGAGGAAAAGTTGATGATTTTTTTTTGTAAGTCCGTCGATGTGAACACCCGATTGTTAAGTCAAAAAATCAAATACATTTTATAGCAATTAACGTCAATCCAGAAGAGAACGGACTCCACGACGTCGGAACATTTTTTTTTTACTTTTACTTTTTTTAAAAACTTAAAAAAAACGAATTTGTTGAGTGTGTGTATGCTTTGAGACGACATGTTTGCTCATTGTAAACTCACACCATCAAAACCACATTTCGGACCTTCACAATTTTTCCTAAAAAGAAGTCACAAGTCAAAAAAATAAGTCTTTCGGAGGAAAAGAAAATAAGTAACCATTTAAAAACGTCAGATCAGATTCTTTACAATATAATGTTGGGAGAAAGATTGCGGTAGCTTCGGCAGAGAAATGTGAAAGATGTCATTGTTGTCTTAACTTTTGACCTTTTCTTAATGGAAGATATAATTCTTTTTTTTCATTATATTTGAGAAAAATCCCGTCGTTGGAACAAGCAAGATTAAAGCTATCGAATTAAAGAAAAATTGAAAAAAAAAGTGTTATTGAGAGGAAAAGTTGATGATTTTTTTTTTGTAAGTCCGTCGATGTGAAAACCCGATTGTTAAGTCAAAAAATCAAATACATTTTATAGCAATTAACGTCAATCCAGAAGAGAACGGACTCCACGACGTCGGAACATATTTTTTTTACTTTTACTTTTTTAAAAACTTCAAAAAAAGTGTGTGTATGCTTTGAGATGACATGTTTGCTCATTGTAAACTCACACCATCAAAACCACATTTCGGACCTTCACAATTTTTCCTAAAAAGAAGTCACAAGTCAAAAAAATAAGTCTTTCGGAGGAAAAGAAAATAAGTAACCATTTAAAAACGTCAGATCAGATTCTTTACAATATAATGTTGGGAGAAAGATTGCGGTAGCTTCGGCAGAGAAATGTGAAAGATGTCATTGTTGTCTTAACTTTTGACCTTTTCTTAATGGAAGATATAATTCTTTTTTTTCATTATATTTGAGAAAAATCCCGTCGTTGGAACAAGCAAGATTAAAGCTATCGAATTAAAGAAAAATTGAAAAAAAAGTGTTATTGAGAGGAAAAGTTGATGATTTTTTTTTGTAAGTCCGTCGATGTGAACACCCGATTGTTAAGTCAAAAAATCAAATACATTTTATAGCAATTAACGTCAATCCAGAAGAGAACGGACTCCACGACGTCGGAACATTTTTTTTTTACTTTTACTTTTTTAAAAACTTAAAAAAAACGAATTTGTTGAGTGTGTGTATGCTTTGAGACGACATGTTTGCTCATTGTAAACTCACACCATCAAAACCACATTTCGGACCTTCACAATTTTTCCTAAAATCTCATTTCGTGGTTCAACAGAGAGTGTGAAAGGTGTTTTGAATTAAAAAAAAAGTCTCCATTCAAATTGGAAAATACAAATAGTTCAATGAAAAAAAAGCGAAATGTATTGACTACAGATGACATCAACGACCTGCCAACCCCACCCCCCTTTCCTTGACCCCCCCCCCCTCCCATACTAGAGCTATGACCTGACTTCTTCGGCTTGACCTCAGCTATATTATGTGCATTGCTAGGCTATAAGCTATATGGGACCTGATATTTTGACCAATACTACCATCGACTCTGCGGTATGCATTGGG